GACAAAAGCACAATTTTCTCTATGGTTTTGCTCTTTTTCTTCCTCCATCCCTGAAATTATGTTTTTATTTTATGTGGAGTGTTTTCTCCCAACTTTTCTGCAGTTTTCCAACTGGAAGAGCTGTATGCTTTCAGCTGGGCAGTGCAGGAAGAGGGATCGCCTGGGGCAGAACTTGCCCCACACCACACACCAGTGTTCCTCTGCACTTCCCACCTTCTCCCATCCTCCTTTCATAATCCTTATAGTGCAAAAGCCACTTCAGAGAGTCTGAAACCATCACTGCATCACTTCCAAGTTCAGCTCCAACCTCCACCTCAATGTGGCACAAAACCACATGAAATTCCTCAAAGTCACTTTATGGGGTTGTTACATCCTGTCATTCCCACTGCTGGTGCTGATGCCTCCTCCCCTCATCCTCTGCATCCCACTGAGGCTGGGGATTCTCACGGCATTTCCTTCTGTCCAATACACACATGAATCAGCACTGCCTTAGAACTTCAAATTACATGTAGCTTTAGTTAATTAAATGTAAAATCATTGGAATAAAATTATCCTTTCATTAGAAATTAACTCACTGCTTAAGACTTCAATAATTACTTTTTTCTTCCCAAACCACATACAAAACGGTCAGTTAAACAGTATGTAAGGGAAAAAAAAAATAGCTTAATGACCGCATAGCAATCAAGATTACTATTATTTAAGCACAAGCTATTAACATGTGCAATGAGGTATTAGCTAATAAATTATCTTTATAAAATTAAATTGTAATTTTATCACAAATTTTACAGAGGTTATGGGTTTTAATGGCTGTATTTAGCTGTGGCACTGAGCATGCCGCTTTCCTTCATTACTTCATTAACACTTTGCATTTATACTCTTTCTTATTATTATTTTAATTTAGGCACTGGATTAAGTGATTTATTCCTTGTCTCTGTGGGGAGCCACTTGGGCTCTGCACAAGGGCTGGGTGTCCATCCTAGGTCCAAGCCTGGGGACAACTTGTGCCCTTGCTTTGCTTTCATATGGAGAAGAGTGCGGAATTTGTTCTCATCCTTGGCCCTCCTGAGCCACAGGTCACCCAGCCTAGGTGCACAGTATGGCAAGCCCAATGATGGAGAATAAGCCCATCCAGAGCTCTGCCATCATTCCAGCTCCATGGCCAGAGCCATCCCTTCTCTCCTGTGTGACAGAGCTCTGTTATAAACTTCCTCAGCCAGTTCCCTGCAGACAGATATCCTTGAGACTCACCTCCATCTCCCACTTAGGTCACAGGGAGATTTAGAGATGGGGAGCTGTAGTTAAGGTCCAGATCTGCTATCTGAACTTGAGTGATGGAGGACACGTTCCCGGGACATGTTTATTGTCACCCGGCAGCCCGCAATCCGGCTCTCACGGAGCCACCTCCATTCCCTATATAATTCATGGTCTGACTCCGTGGTGGAGTGACTGATAAGACCTTCACGCCGGGCTTGCCGGCCACATGTCTCAAGGAGACTCCAGAGGAGCTTCTGCACAATATAAATGTGGCTCCGTGTCAGCCTCAAACCCCTGGAAAATTCCCCGTCTCGAGAGTGCAGCATTTTAAGTAATAAAACCATAGAGAGATTACAACAAAATGTGACAGGAATTTATAGCCCTCCGCATGAACCTTTTACCTTAAGATGGAACAAAGTTGAGGGGAAAAAATTGCGTGGTTCACTTAGGTAACCTTTCCAACAAGCTCTCCTCAGCTCCTGGCCCCACATTCCTCTCTGCTGATTTACAGCAGGAAAGAAACAGGCTTACAGAGAGCCGGGAAGCAGGCAGCGCACCAGCTTTTGTTGCTTTAACCCTCGTTGTTTCCTCCTGATACACAATGGTTTTAGAGCAAGAGTGAGGCACTGCCAGGCTCCTGCCAGACCCCAGAGTTGTACTGGAGGCTGGCTTTTCCCTTGAGAGACACCAAAACTCCTATAGAATCTATGATTTCTAATGAAAATAAGGTCTAAGCAAGGGCTTCTGTGCACACCCATGCCATAACGACACAGGCTATGCCTCCTAGTGCTACATCCCTTCGTACTAGGAGGTGTGTATTTTTATTGCCCATGAAAGGGTCATGTAGCATAGCTAAGCAGATTCCTGGCCCTCCCTGATACTGGATTTACTGCCACTTTCAGCAATAAACAGTGGAATTAATCCTGAGTTTACTAATCCAAAGAGTAAACAATATCCAGTGGAGACACTCAGGCAAGATAAATGCAAGGGAGTTAAAAGCAAACGGACTGAAATCATTCTGCTCCAAGCTAAGGAGTCATTTGAGGAGCATGAAGCCTCCACATACAGTATTATCAAATTGTTAATAAACGTTTCCAAAGTCTGTGATACTGGGAAGCTTTTCCTTCTAATTCATCATGAAAGGGGGGTTTTATAAATGAAGCATTCTTGGTGCCGGGCAGTAATTTCGTATCATACAATCTGTCAGTTAAGGTAGTATTAGTGGGAAGGACTGATCGTAGCTGCTGATACAAGTTTAAGACTTAGGAGACTAATTTCCTGTTATTTATGTAAAGCACTTAACTTTTTAAAATTCCCTGAAACGGCCTATGGAAATAAATAAATTCTGAGATAGTTTCTCCTCAGATGTTCCAATGCTTTACGAATTATTTATGCCGTATTTGCAAAGCCCAGGGAAGATGCAGGAGCCATCGCAGCGCCTCTGCTCTCAGCTTGGGCTCCCCATCGTAAACAGCTTATGAACAGTTCTGTAACGTCCAGGCTGTGAGTGCTGTATCATTGCTGGCTTATTAAGGAGTTTCAACTATTCAATCCCCACAAGGCTCTCTGGTACTTTTAATTCACTGTTGTCCATTACAGAACTGTTCCTGGACGCTGCCCACCAAGGGGAACCTCTTGCTGAGTCCTGTGGATGCTGCAAACCCCCTTGGAGGAGGCCAGAACATCACACCATGTCCTGTCTGTGGCATCAATCCTTCCCATAATATAATGACCTACAGCATCAGCCCCCAGTAGCCAGAGTCCAAGCACCCCTGTGCCCAGAGGTTTCCCAGGCTGGCTGGGCTAGGGAATCAGAGAAGACACTTGCAAGTGCACAGAGAGGAGACCTGGTGTATTGGGAATGGCAGACATGGCCATGTCTGTGAAGGATCACTGGTCCTTCTGCAAGACCAGGCTAACTGCATGGCCAGGAAACACTGCTCTATCCAAGGGCATCTGGATGCCATGAGAGCACTCAGCTATTCCCCACCCGTGTTGAAAAGCAGCAGCAAGAGGCATTGAGTAGGGCCCCCTGTCACTGTGTAAAGCTTGGGGCCAAATCTCAGAGGAGAAATTAAAGTTAACTGTGCCAAGAGGTGCATTTCTCTGTTGCTTGTTAAATGCTGAATGCCAGAGCTGTGCATGGAGCTAGACAGTACCTGTGTTGCAAGAAGAGGGCAAAGCCCCATGAGAATAAAGGGAGAAGGGGCAGACAATCCTGTAAGGTACATGTCCCAGAGTATGATAATAAGATGAAATAATTAGTCTCACCAGTAGATGATCTTAAGGTCCTTTCTAACACTAACTATTCTGTGATTCTATAAAGAGAGAAACCCTGCACTGCGTGGGGAAGTGAAATCACGTCTCATCTCTAGAAAGAGCTGAGGCCCCTTAGAAGTGCACTGAGGACAGAACTGCTTCCTGTTTATATGAAGGGACAACTTCTATCTCCAGTGTAAGAAAATCAACACCTTCAGCAGCTCTGCATTCCCATACAGTATTTTTGTACATATTTTATGTTATCTTGGGTCACTGCTGTTCCTGTTAAATAATTAAGGGCAGTGAATGTGTTATTTACTGTCCATTTAGTGCACCAGACCCATAGCTTCACTTTGATTTTTGGCCCAGAAGGAGCTGTGACATGGCCCTGGAGAATACTTGCGCAGCGCTAATTAGTGTGGCACAGTGCAAACCTGCACCACTGCTTTTATTTGCGAGTCAGAAATAGTACTTGATTGCTAATTTTATTGGGTAATAAATTTTTAAAGTATTAATTTATATTTTCCTAGATGGGGTTTTATAGCCACCAGGTACAGCAGGGGAAAGTCTGACCGGTTTCAGGGACCATTTTAATAGCAGCACCTACTCTGTGTATAAATCAACTGGAGTGATACAAGAGCACACCAAACCAGGCTGGGGAGCACGATACAGCTAGTCAGTCATTAGGATGGACACTGGTTGCTCCTGTCCCGTGGTCCCTCAGGACCTTCCTATAGAAGAATGTTTTAGTTTGTCACATTCGTTCAAGAATAAGTTGGTTCAGTAAAGAAAAGAGTACAAATTATCAGCCCTTCAAAGCTTTCCCATTTAACCACTTTATTGCAATACAACTGCCCATAACATTTGCTTTTAAAGCCCATGATGCTGAGTGTAGTTATTACATTGCATACATAAAAGATGTTTACAATTTTTTATATATATGTAAAATGTTGATCCCCTGGGCCACATTGATTTGTGCTGGCTTCACGGCTGGGTTGGTGCGGGAATTTCCCAAAGAGATGTGATTAGGCTGCAGGGAACTTTCATTCTTTTTTCCTTTTTTAATCTCCTGCTTACCAATTTAAAGGGCCTATCTCGTATTCCATTTATGTCAAGATTTCCAGGCGGTCTCGGGGTATTCTGAGCTCGGGAGCACACGATGCACACAGGCTCACACGCTTCGTTTTCAAAGCGCATTCTGGCTATAGATGAAGCTGGGTTGATTTATGAGTTCTGTGTTGTTTCTATAGTTGAAAACAGAACTGGGACAAATGCATTAATTATCACCCTGCCTGCAGTGGTGAAGAGGCAGCAGGGCACGAAGCAGGGCAGCTATCCTCACTGCTCTTTGGGGTTATCTTTCTCCTCTTGTTGCTCTTCTGGACTTCTCCCCTGGACATCTCCAAGTGATGCCCATAACCAGTCTTCATGGTGCAGCTGTACCACATCAACTGACATCATCCTCCCACCACAAACACCTCTACAAGCACACTGTAAAGAGAGGTCGCCTGTTCCTTGTCCCTGTGCTATGAGGTACCTGTGAGTGGAGTGCTGGAAAGGTCTAAGCCTGCAGGGGATTTTGTAAGGTGTTTCCATTTTTGTAAAGCAGAGACATAAGCAACTGAAAGGACAAATAATTTCCCAGTAATTTGTTTCATAACAAACAGCGGGTTGTAATTAAGATGGTATTCATTTCAAAGAAATTAGCAGAGAAGGGAAAAAAAGTGTTTTACAGTTTCAATCTTCAAACTTTGACACGCTCATTTTTACAATAAAATGATAGTGGGGAATAATGTTAAAGATTTCTCATCAAAACCCATGGAAAAATGAGCAAACTCCAAGGAAGTAGAGGGTATCCAGAGTTTCAATGGTGGGTCTGTAGAGGAGGCCTGAGTAATTCTGGGTGGAAAGGTGAAGGTTTATAACCTGCAGGATGTGTACTGCTTCCATCCCAGCTCTGAGGGTGCAGGGGGCAGCTATGTCAATCAGCTGTTCTGGGGATGGTAGCGTACCTCTATTCATAAGGAGACAAATTTACAGTCTATTTACATATTCACTGTGTCTCATCTTGGAGCTGATTGGAGAGAAAATAAAGGGCCACATATTTAGATATCCACTGCGTTTAAGAGGAAGAAAAAATGAACACAGCAGCAACATTTGCACTGTTTCCCCTTTGTGGAAGAAGAACAGAGGGGTTTTATAGATATATTATACATTTTTAAAAGACTCTAAGTGTAATCCAGGATATTAGACACCATTCAGCTTTGCACAGGTATCTGGCAAAATGGTTTAAACATTTATTAAATATAGAATGATAAAATACCTTGAAGATCACTTCCAATCAACACAGTTTCTGCTGTGGAAAATCATGTCTCATTAATCTGTTAGAATACTTTGAACCTACCAATATATAAATGGATAAAAGAGAATATCTTGACATATTTTTAGACTTTCAAAAGGCTTTTAATGAGGTCTTCCCACAGGATTTCTTAGGAAACAAGATAAAAATGGGGGTAAGAGATACAGTAGCATTATGAATCAATAAGATGGACTAAGAGGAAGGAAACAAAAGTGGTAGATAGTCTTTTATTAATCAATGTAAAGGGTCACTAGCAGTGTGCTACATGGTTACACACTCAATCTAATGACATTAATATATTAATTACTGACCTGGAAAAGGAAACAGTTGTGTAGATTAGTTAAGTTCAGAATAGATGAAAGAAATTGAAAGGAATTTGGCCATACAAAAGAATGAATGATGGGATAGCTAGTGAAGGCTGATGTTGATAAATATGAATACTCTGAAACTCAGAACTTCCCCAGCATATAACTGGTTGATTTGGGAAGCTGGTCATTGCTGAGACCTTGAACAACATCTTCAAAGCCAAATGGCAAAAAGGAGGTCATAGGCTCCAAGGAATGAGAATGGGAAGAGCAGAGAAAACATGAAGAATGTGAAACCATTGCTGGTGTCACCAGGACAGGCTACAGCAGGAGTTGCCCTCGCTCCCCTTCCCAGCATGGGAGCAAGGAGCATGGACAGGAGGTGAAAGGCAGAAGTTCAGAGTATAAGGAGTGACATTCTTGCATGAGGTGGAGTGATGTGCCTGGCAGAGAAGACGAGGAGAGGCCTAAGCTAAATATTGGTGGCCAAGAGAAGGCTGTGGTGAGGGGAATCCCTTCATATCTGACAGTCAGAAATCACTTCACCGTTACCCAAGAACGGATTGCTTTGGTAAGGGGAGGCTGTTGCAGTGTTGCTTGAACATTATGGCTCAAAGTATGCAAAGCCATACACTACCTGCACACACCATCACTGGCAGTTTATCCATACATTTAAAGATTTATAAGGGGAAGCGGGGGGGGTATAGCCTTGAGAAAAGGGGAGACCTTATCGCTCTTTATAACTACCTGAAATGGGGTTGTAGTGAGGTCAGGGTCTGTCTCTTCTCCCAACTAACAAGCAATGGGACAAGAGGAAACAGCCTCAAGCTGTGGCAGGGGGAGTTTAGACTGAATAGTGGGAACAATTTCTTACCCAAAAGGATTGTCAAGCACAGCACAGGCTACCCAGGGTACGTGGTGGAATCACCGTCCCTGGAGGTGTGTAAAAGACACGTAGATGCTGCGCTAAGGGACATGGTTTAGGGGTGGACTTGTCAGTGCTGGCTTATCAGTTGGACTTGATAAACTTAAAAGTCTTTCCTAACCTAAGCGATTCTATGATTCTCTGTTCAGTTTCCTAGATAGCTTCTCTTATTGCTGTTCTGGAAATCCATTCCAATTAGATACTAATATCCGGGCTTCCAATCCAAGCAGCAGGATGTAGTGCAGAGGTGACACTGAGTGGTCCCTGCAGGTGCAGTCTTATAAGCATGGCTTACCTCCACAGGCATTTTCTAATAATCATACTTCTCATGAAGCTCTACTTTCAGTGCCTCCAAATTAGATCTCAGCACTTAAAAACAAAACAAAGAAAAAAAGGTAAAATCAATGGGCTCAGTGCAAATCCCAGTTCCGCCTTGCTTGCACAGTTGCTGCTGCTCTCCTTCCCTTGTGTCGTGCTGGGGTCTTACTTCTCTCTCCTAAATCACCATGTTCACAGAGGGGGCACCGGCCCTGCTGCCCTTCATTGCTCCTATGCAATAGCTGCAGGCTGCATGCACAGATTGAATGTGTGGTGGGAGCAGCAGCTTTTTGCCCTTCTGCAGCCCAGTGGGGGCTGTTTGGAGAACAGACCCACAGCAGCATCCACAGCACACAGGAACAGTGTGCCCGGTACCAGTCCCAGCATCCTGGAGGGGCCTTGCTGCAAACTGCCGCTGCATTTGGCGAGCTCGGGCAGCTTAATTGTCTTGTTAAATATAAATGGGCTGGTGATTTCTTCAAACTGGAAGAGTGTGGAAAAGCCATTGTGAAGGGGATAATACCAGTGGTATTTAAAAATTAAAATGTGCTGCAGCCAATCATAGAAGCAGCAGCATTTGTCCTTTGGAGTCTGACTTTGATAGTCACTCATGGATGCTATAAACACAGACTATGCTTGCAGCTAAGCAATAAAGTGACTGGGGCATTTCTTTTTACTTTATACACCACCGTATTGATTTTGTAGTTTATTTTTTTCTTGGAGGAGAAACTAAGGTATTGCAGTTTCATTTAGGTACTGCATTATAATTTCCCCGATGATTTTGTCAAATGTTCCTGAAGGAGAACACCTTCTCACAGTGAGCAGGATTCAAAGACACAGAGCCGACTAATCCATACCTAATTGGATGAAATCGTTATGCACTTTCCCTCCTTTTGGAGTTTTTTTTTCAGAGTTCCTGGTTCCTTAGGGATCCTAAAAGCCACTGAAGAGGTTATTATAGTATGTCCTCGGGGATGTTTAATACCCTAGCCCTGTTCAGACATGCAAATAATCTAATTCAAAAGCTTCCTAATTAGCAAGCCAGCTACAGTTCTGGATAAGGGGGGAGAGAGAGAGGGAGAGAGAGAGAGATCTAAAAGGACTGTGCTTTTTCCTTTTATAGGCTGCTATTGTGCAAAAGGCAGCATAATGGATAAAAAGTAATTGTTCTGATTTTAATTGCGATCCACTATTTATAGTTTTGTTCTGTCATCTGAATAATGAGGGGATTTTGTTCATACAGCTCACGCTAAACACGCTGCAACTTAGTTTACACAGAATGCAGCAAGCGCCTGGCGTTTCCTCTTGGAAGCACAATCTTGCAGAGCAGAGATGGTCCAAGGAAAAGATGTTAAGCTAGTTAATGAATTAGCCATTTAATTAACATAATTAGGGATAATTATTTTCTTTTAATCTATTGCCAATTTTAGGACAATTAAACTAAACAATGGTGAAGCAGATCACTGAGGGTCCTGTGCAATCCTAGTGGATGTTCTTGCCACATATAAAACATTATTAAATACTGGGGATACGAAGGTGGACAAACATGAGGACAAGGGGAGAGCCTGGCCCTAGTTTTGCACTGACCAGTGTCGGTGACTGGGTGTCTGGGGATGCTTCTGTGCTTTGCCTGCCTGGCTCTGCTACTCTCCATCAGGCTGGGAGATCTCCTGAGCAAGGCCAGTGGAGAGCTTGGATAATTCCTTCTGCCAAATAAAGATGTTTATTATGAGGTAGCAAAGCATTTCTCTGGTGTTGGGGCTTTATGCTCCTAATAGAAAAAAACCACAAACTAGATGGCCCCCTTCTCCCGTCAAAAAAAAAGAGAAAACTTGCAGGAAACAGTAATGTCTGTATAACTAATGACCAAAAATTCACTTTTATTTTTTTAATAGTGAACTGCATTAAGTAACTCACGCGTAGGTCTAACTGCAAGATCTGTCTATAAGGTGCCTAAAGCTCAGTGGCTTCCATTTTCCTCCGATGCTTTCTCAGGAGCATTCGAAGTTTTGCCAAGCCCACCCCTCCAAGTGATGCGCACTCCACTGCACGTGGCACTGCCTAGTCAGTTCATTATCCCATTAGATTCCCACACAGCACCTGCTCAATTGGAGCCTCGTGTGCTAGCAATTAATATGTTATGCCCTGATTAATTAGCAGGGTTAATTATGATTGCTGTTGCTTAAACCTATGTAGAGAGAGATGGCATCATGTTGCTGTGACTTGCGGTGCTGAGGATGCACCCTTGGGAATTGGGACCAGTGCATGTTAGCTGCAGGCCATCCCCATGGGATGTGCTCGCTTGTTCCTGAAGTAGTATGAGCTTGGCAGTCCTGAACCTGCTTGCTCCAATTAGCACTTCCCTAAAGGGTGGCACCTCCCAGCTCTGTGGTGATGGAAACAAACCCAAGCACTTGATCCTGCAGGCACTGAAGGGACCGTGGACTCCTGTGTATTTGTCCACACTTTATCAAGTGTAACTTTAAAGCAAGTTACTTGCAATATAAGAGTGCAATTGCCAAACTGGTACCAATCCAAGCTTGACAGATGCTGTGGGCTTTCACAGTGGCTTTTCACAGACAGATGCTCTGGCCAGCTTTCACAGGCATGGGTGATGGTGTCCGCACTCAGAGCAATAGTAATCAGGGTACCACTTCAGCCAGAGCAGAGACCTGGACAAGAGCAGAGCAGTTGTGGGAGTTTGGAGCACCTCAAGAGAAATTCCTCAGATCTGCAGTCACAAAAGCTGGTGAGCAGAGCAGGATAGGCTCCAATCCAGCACAAAGCTGAGCACCATCGGTTTCCTGTTAAGCTTTTGATTTGTCTGTGTGTGAAATAGTGAGACTTGGGGCCTTTTTGGCAGTTGTGAGTGAGAGATGACCACCCTTCTCATTGACTTATCCTTTTGAAGCTATCATCACTCATTCCTCTTGGGAAGAGAATGTGAGGCACTGGTAAATAATATAGGGTTGTGTATTTCTTTATCTCCCATAGTGTGTAGTCTCCTACATGCTGTTGTGTTCTAACAACATCCATCAAGACAAATGCATACCTGAGAACAGCTTCCCTTAAACCTCAGAAATCTGTTTCTGAGGTCACAAACTACACAGAACAGACAAAGAAGAAACAAGAAGGAAATTGCACCAACAATTAAACATTTTTTTTTCCAGAGACATAGAGGACTCCCCTTGTCTGCAGAAGGCAAGCACCAAAATAAGAATGCCACATCTCAAACACAAGGCAATCTATTATTCTCAGAGCAGTAACATGATACATTATCAGCCACCTTATCCTAGCAAAATGTATCATTACCTGCACTTTCTGCACTTTCCAGATCAATCCACTTTAAAAATGTAGTAATATAGAAGGGTATTAGGTACTAGAAAACTCATTATGAAAATGGCGCACTCAAATTCTTTAAAGGTGATATTTCATAAAATATACTATGCCTAGCTCTTGGCTCAATCATTCTTTTTAATAGCTCCATAGCAGCCAGAAAATAAAGTATTCATGAAGATTGAAGAAGATGATCCCATGAACTTCAATTTAATTGGTGCAAATTAAAACGATCCATCTTTTCACGCTGCCCGTCTATCTCCAATCATCAGTGCACCGCACGTCCAGCACCCTGATTACAATTATCTTTTAATAGGAAAACTTGTCACTTTTTGTGTGATTTACATAAGCTTGCACAAACTTACTGGTATCATTTAGGGTTGGAATGTAGGATTTTTTTTCCCCCATTCAAGTCCCCTGATATAGTTGGGGGGGGGCGCAGGGGGCCCAGAGGTGAGGTGAGCTCTTGGCAGGGGGCTCATTTACTGCACTTAAAGCCTGGACTTGTACAAGAAGAATGCCAGAAAACAGCCTTCAATACATCTTCATTCACCAGACCTCCCCCCAAAGAAGCGCTAATGCAGCCAGATTTCATGGTGTCTTTGCAATGACCATTGCAATTACAATACAAAAACCTAGATGACATTTTGACTTTTAATTAGGAGGGAAATGATGCTGGTCCCTGCTGATGGCTCTCTCTCTCCCTCCAACTGCTCCTAGCACTCCCATCCTGAGAAGGTACCCTGCAGGGTTTAATAAGCCATCAAATCATAGTGGTGTGGGACGTATTCTCAAGAGTTCAAATAAAATTACCATAAATGTATGTTTACTGTTCCCGGCCTAGTGTCTGGGATCCGGCTGAGGGCCCTCCAGCCAGGAACAGCGAAAAGGACCCACAGTATTAATTACTGTTACTATCATTATTACTATTTTCTTTGTGATGGCCACAATCCAACAGTGAGGATGCTGCAGAATGATTCATTGCCCGAAGCCATTTATGTATAATATGCTTCAATTTCATTTCCTTATCTTTGAAAGGCAACCGTCCTTATCACAGATGGCTTCCATGCTTTAAGATGCTGTGAGATTTAGCTCTGTCTTCCTAGGCTGGGCTTTTTCTATGCAATGAAATAATGAGCATTGTTTAGCTATTGTCTGTGCATTCTCTGATAGCATTAACACTAACTAAGGGGTGGGCAACCTGCAGAACAGCAGATGCAACCTATGCACTCATAGTGATGGTACTGAGCCTGCTCACACCTCTAGTGAAGCACGTGGAGGGATGTTTTTAATAAGCACTGATTTCCATCTCTCTCTTCTCCATCACGATGGAGAGTGGCTGAAAACACCTTCGTGCATCGCACACCGAGGTACCCGCAGAGGTTATCAGCATGCCAATATTAAACTTTTTAGCACATCCACTGCAAAGCAATTTGGAGGACTCCTTTGCTGGTGGAGTTCAAATGAAACTCATGGCTGATCTCATTAAGCACTTGTCTCATTTTGGTGCATGAATATTAAACAGGAACGTGTGTGAGCAGGATGCCACAGAAAGGAACATTTTTCCTCCTCAGCCGCAGCTGCGGCACTGCTGGACCAATATGCCGGGGGTCTGGTCCTGTCTTCCTGGTGGGGAAAGGTGTCCCCAGGCTGCTGCCCTTGCTTCAGATGTTCACCATGCCCTGAGCTATTGCTGAGGAGGAGGAGGGCGGGCAGCATGATGGGGATGCAGCGCTGGGATGAAGGGATTTGAGGAGGCTGTGCCATAATAGAAGACCCCTTTGTGCCTTCCCCACACCAGGATGCTGCTGCTGAGGGTGAGTGCAGGGGCAGCTCAATGAGGGACAACCGTGGGGCAGTGAAGTGGGGTTCAGCCCAGCTCCTTACCCAAGGACACCCCACTTCCCAGCCAGCAGCTCCCCAGAGCCCCTCCAGAGGCAGCTCCCCATGCAGCTTTCCCCATCAGTCTTTTGTCACAGCAAACAACGCCGGTTGCTGTGACCCAAATAAACTCCAATCCACTTGATCTATCAGGGAAACATGCAGCACTGACCTGCCATAAATCCCCGGGGTGGCAGGAGATGTGTCCCACACCTACTCCCTCCATGCCCTGGCCTGCCGCATACCTGCCGTGCTGCCCAGTAAGCAGGTAATCATGAGCTGCCACGGAAAGGTGACCCATTACCGTGATGGATTTGGTGTGAAAAACAAATGGACTGAGACCTGCGGATTGCTGTCCTTACTGCACCTTGGCCTTTTGTTCTGTCATATCAATATCCGCACAGGGCCTCATTACACGCAGCTCCTGTGCTGTGATGGGAGCGCAGGGTCAGCACCATGCACTGTGCTGGGCTGTGCTGGTGAACCTCACCCCAGGAGCACATCGTGCTACCCTCTCCTCCACTGGAGCATCCTCAGCCCCGGAGGCTCCTGCACCACCACCCCTGCAGCCTACCCCTCTGGCACCATTGCATTCACATGGGCAGGGTCAGCATAGACATTGCGTGAGCAGAGCAAATCTGGGATGTGATCTGGTTTATTTTGTTTCCTTTCCAACCTGGGGTCCCCGAGGATGGATGGCAGGAGGGGTGCAGGACAGTTCAGCCCGGGAGCTCACCACATCACAAAGCTCTGCTGTGTTCGCTCAGCATGGAAGACAAGAAGCTAAACTAAGGGAAATGCTTTGCACCAGATGCCAACTGAGCAATACAAACAATTCAATAATGTGTCAGCAGTGTGTTTAAGTGCTGCTGAGCAGACTTGCTCTTTCCTTTCCCAATGAGGCTCGGTCCTGTTGACGCTGAATGGGCTCAGTCTCACCACAACCTGCTGAATGAAGAGCCAGAGCTGAACCATGCCCAATGGCAGCACATCCTAATTGCCCTCGAGCAGCATCCCAGGATCCTGCTGTAGCCAAGGGAGCTGAAGCCTTGCTGGAGAGCAAGAGGCATAGGGATGTCTGCCATCGCCACAGGGAGGAGGAGGAGGAGGAGGGAGAGCCGGCAGAGCTGACCTTGAGGCTGCCTGAGACTGACCCTGAAGCAGTGAGATTCTCCATTCTGTGCACAGGCACTGTCATCTCTCACCTTGCAGAGAGCGCTCTCCTTGCCCATTTATCATCACAAATGTTTCTATTTAGGCTTATTTGTTTGTACAGTTAAGCCCTGTTACATTTACACCAAGAAGAAGGACAAATTGTGATTTTATCCAATGTTAGATCATATCACTCCTTGCTACAACATTCACAGCATTAATAAGGATAAAGGGAGACTTTGGAGAAATGCAATAATACAGCACATGTGATAACAGCCCAGCGAAAGTGCTCTGGGGAGGGAGTGCAATTCCACAACAGAGACCACTGTGGATGCTCCCTTTGTGAGCACCTTGCATTGCCTCACCAGGAAGGGATTTCTGAACTGCGGAATGTCACAAACACAATTCCAGCAGCAAGGTCCTGCTCACTAACGAGCATTAGTCTGCACACTGGAACCCTTCATTTCCTGGAAAATACCTTGCTTTTACACAAAGCACTGGATGCCTCTAAGATTCCCACCAGCACTCACCTGGTACAGAAATGGGCTCTTAATAAAGATGAAAGTGGTGTCAGAAATGTGCCAAAACAATGGCAACTCTGGGAAAACAGAGCACAGGAAGACAGATAACAGAACCTGAAGCATCGGGATGCAAATCCATGGCTGAGCTCACGAGAGCAGCTTCAAGCAAGACCTCCAAAGAGGCCGGTGCTGAAAGCCCTGACCCTCCCCAGGAACCCCATGGCATGCATTGCTACCAGGCAGATGTCCCATCCCTGGCAGTGCTCAAGGCCAGGTTGGACACAGGGGCTTGGAGCAAGCTGCTCCAGTGGAAGGTGTCTCTGCCCGTGGCAGGGGTTGGAGCTGGATGAGCTTTAAGGTCCCTTCCAACCCAAACCATTCTGGGATTCTCTAACTCTATGAAGCTGCAACTTTGCTTACCCGCAGTCACCTTGGTCCCAGTATGAAAAGGACCATGATGAACCTGTGTTAACATGTTAGCCTATTCATAGTAGGGACATAAGCACCTCTATGCTCCTCTGTCCATCTGCAAGTTGCTCATGGCACAGGAAAACTTACTACTCTGCCATGCCTGTGTCAGGAGCAGCATGTATTAGACACCACATACACATCAGTCCAAACTCTTCTGATTGTTCCATCTGATGGAAAATTTCCTTGGGGATTGGCACTGTTTCCCAGTGAAAACCCTACATTGGATGCAAATCTATACCAATAAAAACCCTTCCCTAATGCTGTGCTGCAGGAAGAACTTGCTCGGGCTAGTGTCCAGCTCAGGGGAGCATTGAGGGCTATTCCTCCTGCCTCCCCCTTGTACAACACTGGCTAGCAGGGGGGCAGCAGCCCCATGGTCCCTCCTGCGGGCGGCTGCTCTGGAGCACGCTGCTCCAGCTGCTCCTGCTAGCTTTGGCCGGGGAGTTCCTGCCTCAAACCAATCATCATTTACGTTATCCTTACAGGCGAGGGCAGAGACCTTCAATCATTCTTCCTAGTTAGACACAATCACCAGCCAGATTTGTCTTGTTTAGCTGAAATACATACCCAGTAAGTACACAGCCCTGAAGATTGTCAGTGGATGTTTTGCTAATCCTGCAGCCAAGCCCTCTCAGTCCCTGTGTGGGTTTTTAAAGGGCCAGTTTTGGCTCGAAGTCCGCTCTCCTCCATGCCAACACACTTTCTAAGAACACAACTGCTGCTTCGGAGCAACTCCAGCCCTTCCAGGAGCAAAAGACTGTGCCAAGCCTCTGGCAAAGCATGGGCCAAGCAACCTTTGCTGGCATTGCTTCCAAAGTGCTCATTCCTTATTTAGGATTCCAGACTAGCACCCACGTTTCCTGAACAGGGAAAGGGGGGATCTGCAGACCATCCAGAGCCACAGGGAGATATGGAGGCTGAGCAGTGGGTGAGCACAATGAGATGTAGCACACATCAGTGCATCCAGGGCCATTGGGATGGGCTGTGGCAAGTCAGCACTGGCTCCTCTGGACCTCCCTTTGGCTTCAGCTGGGTCCTGCTGACCATGGGCACTTCTCTTATTCATTCTTGGTCTTCTTTGCTCCTGATTATGACACGTTTGCCCTGTCAAGGCTCCCAGACAGCATTTATAGGAATGCCCACACTCCAGGTAGGTGTGGGTATGGAAAATCCATCCCTGGCAGGGAGTGAGCACTGTCAGGCAGCTTCCAAGTCTCCTTCTCAAAGCACATATATTTTCTGTTTCTTTTATGATCAGCGAAAGATTCCTTTTGCATCTGCCAAGGAACTATTTTCACAAATAAGTACGTAAATCCTCTGTAAATGTATGCTAATTACTTATTTTAATTACAATGTAAATAAGTAATTACTGAATAATTTTAAAGTATTTACATGGTCTTGTGTGATTTAAAAGCTAACTTGTTGGAAGAGTAAAAACTATAAATTTTACAGTAATTATAGCACAGTTTTTACACTGTGGCCAAACACAATTTCAGTGTGCTTCGTAAGAGATAAATAAATACGTAATTCCCCAGTAATTACTGCATAATAACAAAACTATTGCGTGTTCCTTTCCTCCTTGTTAAACAAAAAATGCCCATCCACCAGAACAAATCCGAGTTGAGATTTTTCCCGAGGATAACGAGCATTCATCCATGCGATCCTGAGGAAGATTTTAAGGAAGAGAATAAAAGGAAAATCTGACAGAGGTTTCTGAATAAGGGGGAAGTGTAAAAGGAGGGAAATGGCACAAGGGAAACGCAGGGAGCAGCCTGCTGCTGGCACCCTCACCCCTTTCTGATCACTCAGGGCCTCTGGTGCTGATGGTCCTGGCTCTGCCAGATGTTTCTGCCAGATGTGGTGGGTCTGTTTCATGCCAAAGGTGCCGGTGCAGGGCTCAGGGGGCCCTCTCCATCCCTGGCCTCAGGATCTCGGCTGCTGTTCCCTGAAAACGCTGATGCAGGAGCAGAGCTCGGCAGGAAATTGGCAATCAAAAGGTGAGTATATAAACAGTTAAATTATATTTCCTGTGGGGTATTTTTTATTAATTTCATTGCAATAATATGTTAAACACCAGCACTGTGAAAATTAGTGTTAATGAACATTAAATGTGTTGGACAATTTAAATGGTGTGTATATATCACCCCTCTTATTATTGGGATTGGCCCAGTGGTAATATCCTTTTATCGATCCTCTGCCTTTCTCCTTGTCTCTGTCCCTGTGGAAGTGGCCATGAAGGACACTGTAAGCACACAGCTATCAGAGACATAATCTTTTAGCACTTTAATAACACAGTGAGCAGCCATCACCCACCAGCCCTTAATAACTGTCTCCGTCAGCTCTTTAGAATTTGCAGATTACAGAGTCCTTCTAAATCTTCCCTGAAAAGGCCAGGAGCATTAATGAGCCTACCTGGGCCCCGCTGCTGGGTCCTCACGCTCCTCCCTCACCCTAGCAGGCTCTCCACACGCTGCCTCCTCCCCAAAATAGCTGCTGTACAGCCTATTTAGAGTGCGGAAGAGACAGGGATCTATATATAGATTTTGTATTCCAGGGTTGCGGTGTTCTGCCCTGTGCCCATGCGCGCAGCTCGCCTCTAAGACCTGCTCTTAATTCGGTTTGCAGCCTAATACAGATTTAAGAGAGCGGGTGTGGGTGGGGGGTTAGCTGCCGTGGGCTCATTAAGGCTGAAGATAGATTTCTCTGTAGCAGGCGTGCACGTGTGAGGTGTTTCTTCAGGGATGCTGTGCTCGGCTCCGGCTGCTGCAGCGGTGAGAGCCTGCGCGCACGTGAACCTGCTCCAAGGCTTCTCCTCCCATGACATTGCCAGCGATCAGGATGCTCCCTCTGGAGAAGGTGTCTCCCATTGCTGTCACTTCAGTTCCTAAGTCAGGAGTGCTTTAAAATCCTGCAATGATGTGGTTAAGGTTGCCCATTCAGCCCAGGTCCTCACCTTCTGCATGCTGCTGTTCAGGCATTCCTACATAGAATGGTTTGGATTTGAGGGGACCTTGAAGCTCATCCAGTTCCAACCTCTGCCATGGGCAGGGACCCCTTCCACTGGAGCAGGTTGCTCCAAGCCCCTGTGTCCATCCTGGCCTTGAGCACTGCCAGGGATAGGGCATCCATGCACACCAAACCTCTGTTTATTTAAAGTGATATAAACCTCATGCCATGCTCAGAGAGCTTATTCTATCTGGTCAGATGTTTTCTTTTCAGCCAGCAGGC